AAGTGAGAAGCGGCGAGCCTCTGCTCCCGGCTGTTCTGGAGCCGGAGCCGGCTACCTTGGGATCGGTCCCGATAGCCTTTGGGCCGGTCTCGGCTGTCATGGGGCCGGATCGCGGGCGGAGGAGGCGCGATCGGGTGCTGCCCAGGAGCGAGGAGCGGGCTGCGGCGGATTCGACGGGTTTCTGCGCTGCAGACGCCAGATTATACACCGAGAGATCCGGAGGCCGCCGCACAAGCGCACAGTGCTGGCGCGGAATGTCAAAGTCGTACCAGAGGTCCACCGCTGGCAGCGCGTCACCGGGCGATGGGGCAGTCGGTAGGCGGTGCGTGAGCTGAACCGGGTCGGGCGATGCCATGCTTGCTGGCGAGGCAGCGCCCTTGGCAGCGCCTTTTTTCTTGCCCCGCTTGCCCTTTCGGCGGCCCTTCTTGCCGGTCTTGCCCGAGAACGCCACAGCCTCTGCCACTGCTGTCTCGTAGGCGGCAAAGACAGCGAGCTTGTCGGCAGCCGGCGCGTCGACGGTCGCGTTGTTGCGGGCGCCCACCGCCGACGATACCGCAACGCCAGCACCATACAGTGATGCCGCATCGTCGCAAAGCTCGTTCTCTGGTGCCCGCTCGCCGTTGTACAGCGCGATGTTCCGGACCGAGTTGCCGTGCTTCCGCACCAGGAACCGCTTGATCTCCGCCACTGTCGCCGCCAGATTCACCCGCTTGGTCCACACAATGCCCTGCGGGAAGACCAGCCTCAGTCTCAGCTCGACCCATGTTGAATGTGGCAGCGCAAGCGCCGGTCGCTCATACGCCGGTGGTGGTGGCGTCACAGGCTCCTCCTCTTCGGCGCCTGCCTGCGGGTCATCACCTCGTTCAAGCCCGGCATCGACCTCGTCGACCTTGTTACCACCACCACCATCGCCACCAACACCGCCCCCATCACCACTCCATTGTCCATCGCCACCACCGCGTCCATCCCATCGCCCATCAGCCGCCGTATGACTGCTCGCCATGGCGCCAATGCCGCGCCGTTGTCGACGTTGTCTACGTTGTCAACCGTTGGCTCCGCCCACCCGTGGAGAAACCACCCAGCAGCAGCAGCAGCAGCAGCAGCAGTAGCAGCAGAAGCAGAAACACAGACAGAAACCGATACACACACAGACGCCGACACACACACACACACACGTAGGATGCACTACTTGGAGAGCAAGAGAGAGATGTGAATGGTGAGACGGGCCACGGACTGGCCACTCTCCAAAGCGCCGTCAAGTGGTCGCTGACTGTGTCCCCTCACCGCCATCACCACGGAGCCCATCCCAAGCCAATCGAAGCCCCTGGCACACCCTTATAGCCATCCATACCCTCACCCTTCTCCCTACCCATCCACTATATCCCCATCACCCCCATCACCCCCATCACCCCCATCACCC